TAACTCGGGCTCTGATACCACTTTGATGGAAATAAAATAAATTATTTCCTTTGATAATTTTGGTTTGGTTGTGACAAAAAAACTTGGGAAATAGCTATGGTGGGCACGTGTATGGGAAATGGGAGTCTTGGAATTGTTTTGGGTTTTTATTTGTTTGGTATGGTGGAGGGGTTTTGGTGGAGAGTAGGTGGCAGAGGAAATTTGAGAAGGGAATGGGAACTTTGGAAGCTTTTATTGCTTGCTTTCTTTCTTGGCTCTCTACTTTTCAAACGTACATGAACAAGCCTATTTATAGGCTTCATTCTCTAAACACTCTGCCACAACCGACTTAAACATGTGGCTTTCCTTTTTTGTTTTTTTTTTTTTATGCAACTACCAACTACACACATTAATTATTTTCTACAAACTTCCATAACCAAACACACTACCATCCACGTATTCCTAGCTTCTAGGAATTTCTGATATTTTGATTGGTTATTATTATTAAACTTTATTTTCAACAGAAATCTGTAAAATGGACAAGGGGAAAGGGAGAGCAAAGCCATTTTACCACCAGAACTTTCCTTCCTAGCTAATGATGAAAGACAAGATGAGAGCAACCTAGGTTTTCCTCCCATGGCAACGAGAGCCGCTCATATTAGAGAAGGGGCTTTCAAGTGATGAAATTAGCAAGGGGCTTGCGACCATACCAGGTACTGCAAGTTGTTTCCCCTTTAAAGTTAAGGTTAAGGGTAGATATAGTATGGGGTTGGCAAATGTTAGCTAGGCAAATAGATGATCCTTGACTATGGAACTAGTAGACTCACATTATCTTCCATTTTATTGTGCATAGACAGCAAGGTGCCTTGATTTTAAAAGGCAGAACCGACTTGCTTTGGTAGTTATGGGAGGATGCTTAATTTTTTTGCATGTTAATACATGTATATGTGAGTTCAATCCATATATATATATCCATGTTTGGAGTGGCATTAGTTTACACTATCTCAGGTGATGCGTGGGTATTGGTAGTGGGCAGAGTGGGAAGTTAACAGGAGGAATGAGCACTTACAATCCGGAATTGTGATTAGAGCTGAATGCACCCACATAAACATAATTAAATGATGCATGCATGCATGCAGGGAATCATAAGGGAATAATTAAAGTTATATATAGTATGGATGAAATAGAGTTTACTTGGACCAAGAAATGTACTTGCATAAAGTGGGGATGTAAAGGGGATTTATGTTACTTTTCGGGTATAATTAAATGGGTTAGCAGAAGTTAATTTCCTAGTTGGTTCCATGTCTCAAATTATGTCCTGCTGCTATCATTAATTGTGTGATTAGCTATGATACTGAAATTGTCTATACTCTATACATGAATGAACTTCAAAAAGGAAAGCAGCCAGCGAGACATTGACAAGGGGCACAAGTTTAGCGGAATAATTATGCGGTGAGTAAATTCTAATCTAATGTTTATCTTAATATACGATTATGGCATTCGGGTCATGAAGCGGCCCGAGTAGAAGGAGTATGATGGGTTGGAAAGACTTATATACAATGTGAGTGAATATAATGGGTTACCTGATTGAATGATGATAAACTGATTGAATGATCTTATGATTAGATAAGACACATCATGGTAATTGTGTGATAATATGATGATATAATAAAATGATTGTATGATGGTATGACCCGAAGGTCATAATACATGTTGTTATGTGTGTGCTAAACGATATTATGTGATGAGTATATAATATGTTAAATGCCATTTGAGGCTTACAATTGAAAAGAATGGCAATAAAGGTTACCTATTGTCAATTATACGAGATGAGATAAAATGGCATATGAGTCATGCAAGTGAATGTGATATGAAGTTATGAACTGAACCTTGCCTCACATAAGTGATATATTGAGTGTGACTAACTATAAGAGTTGCATGGTCACCTAAAGCAAACGTAATGACGCCATGTCATGCACTCATTATAAGTGAAAAGAGGCTTCAAGCCTAAGAGATAAAAAAGAGTTATACGAGAACTCCTTTTAAGGAGTAATGTCAGGCCTGACTACGAGTTTATGAGATATGGCACCCTATGCCCCACGAGTTCATAAGATTGGCACTCTATTCCCACGAGTTCACGAGTTACGAGATTACGAGCTTACGAGATCCCGGGGAGTGCATGACTTAGCAAATTAAAGAATAAAAGCTACTGAATCCAGCTAACTATATGTATGCATGTGTGTGATTAGATGCTGATACATGGTTAATTTTGGGTGCAATGTGGATACTTGAATGTCGATCTTATTATTTGCCCTATTTGTGTGATATGTGACTGAGATGGCAATCTTAGTATTTGCCATGATATATAGAATGTGAACCCTTTCATGAAATATGAAATATATGAAGGTTCATGTGTTTTATATGTGATATCAAGTGATATGAGGTACATTTTTTTGATAATCTTCTATGATAAGTGGCACAATTATTAATTAGGAAACTGTGATATAAGCATTGATATGTTGATTTAATTATGATACTACCATGAGATTTTGGCGTGTATAATGTTATGTGTTGATAATACCTCCCATGATGTCATGTTGAAAGAAGTGTAAAGATACGATGAAAAATTTGTATGGTGTATAAGAATAAATATGAACTATCCGCAACACCAGGTAGGGGAAAGTAAATGTGAAACCGTAAACGAATCATGCATGACATATATGTAAAAGCTCAAATGAATGAACCATAATGTATATGTGAAAGATCGAATGGACGAGGAAGGAAATTTTGTATAAATATACATAGGTGAGACCTAAGTTATTCAGTGAGTGACATCTCATCGAGTTTAATGGTCAAAAGACACTTCGAGTCACAACATAGGCTGATATCATTTTCGTATTAATATTTATATTAGATTATTATTTACTCACTAAGTGACGTCTTACCCCGTCAATGAGTAAAGTTATTCAGTGATAAATATAATAATGGTCAAAAGACACTTCGAGTCACAACATAGCCTGATATCATTTTCGTATTAATATTTGTATTAGGTTATTATTTACTCATTGAGTGACGTCTCAGCCTCGTCAATATATTCCCTCACAGGACTAGAACAGCATCGCTAGGGCAATATGGATGAGTAATGTCGTCTAAATGACTAAGAGGTGGGCGGCGGAACTGAACTCTCCTCAAATCTTTCAATTAAAACTTAGGAAACATGCAAATTTTTCGCAAGCAAGGGTTTTAGATAATATCGCTTTTAAATTCACTTGACTTTCTATGCGCTTCATATAAAGATTGTAGCAAAACCAAGCATAAATTGGTGAAGGGGAATAGTAGGAACAAGAATACAATGTAGGGTGTTACAGGTGATTTCAACGCTACAACCAATGAGTTTGATTTAGTTCTTCGCAAATTATTCTGGTAGAGGGTGCTAAGTTCTTAAGTCGTGGTTTATTTTTAAGGACAATTTCTGCATGTTTGTTCCAATTATGGATGTTGAACTCTTTCTGCACAGATATTGTTAATTTCGTAAGCCATCTATTTGATGTAGTTTTGAACTTATGTCATTCTTTATCATTTTTTAAATTACTTGCAGTCTAGAATAGATATATCTTATTCTGTCCAGGATCTTTTTTTACACTATTATTCTGCTACCACATCCTTATCTTTATCAACCAAAAATAATACTCAGTTGAACCTAGGGAAGTTGAAACTTACATGCCAAGATTCCAGCAGTCTCTAGAGGCGTAAGTCACTATGTATGCTGTTTTGGGCTCCTTTTCTCATAGCATATACATGTATGCCTCGAGAGTTGCCAATTCATTTTCCATACACCCCTACCTTTTCAGTGATAGACTTCTCTAAAACCTTCACACCAACCCGCAATGAATATAACCCTTAGTACCATCACCCTTGGTAGTCAATATACATTTTATTCATCCGGCTACCCTGCCAAAAATCAGTTGCATATTGGTGATTACCATTTTGTTCTAGGAATTCTAAATGTATTCAGGCAACTCGCATTTAGACGAGGAATGTGCTTATTTTATCTTTTCCTAGAACAAAGAAAGGTAGCAGAACCTAGGACTCCAAGGGAAATTGAAAACAAAACTCCTACACTTGAAATTTCTCATCCAAGTCTTAGCACAACAACTTCCCTACTGATAACCAAGCACCAACCCTCCAAAAATGGTTGGATTCTAATTCTCATTGGCCTAGCTATTGCTCTTTCCGCGACCAAATAAGATGATAGCCAACAAGCACACACAAGAAAGGGAAACCTCATCGGCCAGTATATGGCATTCCTGCTTTTAATGTGCAATATCTTTTGCTGATTTGAGAAACTTCTGTGGTGAACCTCGACGAAATGAAGAATTTGTCTTTTGGGAAGTTTGGTATAGCTCACTATGGCTTTTAGAAGCCAAGAATAGTACAAATTGTTGTTGGTATGCGTACATGTTTGTGGGTTGAAGTTTGGGAACATGATGTTGATTGTTGGAGTATGAGAAGATACTTTGGGATCCCTTTGTCATCATTTTATTTGTACCTTTGTGATATTTGCATAAATGGGCAGCTAAAATGGTTAAAAGTGGTGTTGATTGATACCTTGCTTTGCTGAATAGATTGTTGCTATTGCTGAGATGATTGTCATGCTGTCAGATGTCCTTTGTGTTGGTAAGGCTTCGATTTTCAGTCACTTTGAGTTATCCACACAGAAACTCCAGAGCAAAGTACTAAGTGGGTTATTTTGGTTACAGGGTTTAGTGGTGCGCCATTGTCTTTTTTGCATAATTTGCTCGTATGAGATGACTTAGCAGGACATGTCAGTAATGGCCCCGACTATGCAAATGAATTGTTCTTGTGTTCATGGGATTCATTCTATTGAATTCATCTATCTCAGCGTATGCAGTTGTGGATTTTCCCCCCGGTAAGCTAGCTAAACAAATGGCTCCTTTTATTGCCTTTAAAACAGGGAAAATACTCTTGTCAAAGATGTGAAGGATGCTTATAAGAGGGTCATGAAAGTGAATCATCCGGATCAAGGTGGAAGCGGCTATATAACAAACAAAGTAAATGACGCAAAACACATCTTGATTGGTGGCAAAAGTTTGGGCTCTGCTTTTTGAAAGGCTTACTTTTTAGAATCCCACCCCGACGTTGATTCTTTTTACCATTGGAAGAGTTAGCTTGTTATATGTACTCTCTTGCAGCATCACACAGATAATTTTTCCATCATGTTTAATTGTTTTGGTTCACCATATCTTTGATTGAAGTGAGGAGGGACTAGGGCTACAAACGAGCGAGTTGAGTGGAGTTTTTGCTTAACTTGAGTTCGGCTTGTTTGAAAATTTTCAGCACGAACTCGAATTTTTATAATCCAACTCAAGCTCGGCTCGATAAAAAATAATCCAGCTCGTGCTCAACTCGGTAGAGCTCGATAAATGCTCATTAACACATCTTGTCAAGCTGAGTACAAGCTCGGCTCAAGATGAGTTCGATCTGAAATCATTCTTGTTGAAAAATGAGTACACAAAAGAATTTAAATGATAAAAAGAACAGTGGAAACTAAATATAACAAATAACTTTCATACACATCCATATAAACAAGATAATGTTCATGTTCATATGACTAATTAATCCTTCTAAGCCAGCTCGTGAGCTTAGCTCAACAAGTCACCGAGTCAAACTAGCTCACGAGCTTATCAACCTGAGCATGGTCTAGCTCAAGCTTGGCTCGTTTACTAATGAGAGTCGGCTTGTGAACTTACAAGCAGAGTGTCAAACGAGTTTTTCCCAATTTGAACGTCGAGTTGCTCGCGAGCATCTTGACTCATTTGCAGCCCTAGAAGGGACTATGGAGTGTTGGTCCCTGTCGTTTGTGTACCCCTCACATCAGATTCATCACTAATTAAAAAGAAGTCCCTAGATTGAGTGGTGATTGAATACGTCTATACTGTATTGTGCCCCTTTTCAATTGCTTCTTCTAACAATGTTCTAGTATGACAGAACAGTTTCAATAAAATGGTGGGTGGTTGACCATGGCGAGTTGTAAAAGCATAGATATTTCTGAAATAGGTAATGGATGCAGATTGTGTGGTGTGACCATAAAAAATTCAAAATGCAGCACATTTGAAATGGGTTCTTCTTATTCCCAGACGATTATTGTTTCTTACAAAAGGTAGTACCTTGGCTGTACTTAGTTACTGGAGATATCCACTGACAAATTAATGGAATTGTGCTTCGATTTTTGGCAAGAGACAGCGGTCAAGGCCCTGACGTGATTCTGTAATTCTAGTGGCAACACAGAAAGCCCCCAACTCCAACGCTCAAGCTTCCAACAACCGTACCAAGCACAAGGTGCCCTAGGGTTTCAACAACAACAACAACCCGACAAGCTATCTAAGCTTGAAGACCTAGTGAACAACTTTGTGAGTAGGAGTGCTCAAAAGTTCGAGAAGATAGAGCAATTTATGGAAGTGTCGATTACCAAGTTTACCTCGGTTGAGGTGGGTCTCCGAAGCAAACAAGCGAATCTCCAAAGCTTGGAGGTGCAAATCAACAACCTTGCCAGCATCCTCACCGAGAGACCCAAGGGGGCCCTACCTTCCCAAACCGTGGTGAACCCCAACAACCATGCCGGCGTGAATGCACTTCAAGTGAGGAGTGTGAAGGTGATTTCGGTAGTCGCCACTGAAGAAGTGAAGGAGAAGGAAGATACCAACCCGAAGAAGGGAGAGAAGATGCCCTCGAGGAATGAGAGGAAGGCGGCAAGGAAGGCATCGCCGGTGGGGGAGTACATGCCACCTCTTCCTTATCCCACGAGGATGTACAAGGAGAGGTTGGAGGACGAGTGTGGAGGTTTCATGGAAATGCTCTGCAACCTCCACCTCAACATTCCTTTCCTTGAAGCCATGGCTCAAATGACAAGATATGCCAAGTACTTAAAAGGAAACCTCACCAAGAAGCCAAAGCTTGAAGGCCTCGCCAACGTGACTCTTAGCAAGGAGTGTCTGACCCAGGTAGCTTTACTATCCCTCTTGATACTGGTAACCATCATATAGACAATGCCTTGGCGGACCTAGGAGCTAGTATTAATGTGATGCCCTACAAGCTTTTCAAAAAGTTAGATGTAGGTGAACTTAAGACCTCTAAGCTTAGCATCACCTTAGCCGACCCTTCGGTCATTAGATCGAAGGGTGATGTGGAGGACATGATGGTGAGAGTGGGCAAGTTTTGCTATCCGACCGATTTCGTGATTCTCGACATAAGTGAGGACTCGGATATGCCACTCATCCTCGGTCGTCCCTTTCTTGCCACCACCAAAGCATTGAAAGACGTTAATGAGGGGACCTTAATTTTGAGGGATGGTAAGAAGAGAATCAAGCTTGAAATTGACCCTAAGGTTAGGAGTGATGAAGTGAAGGAAGTTGTTTCAAATGATGTGAATGAGAGTGGAGGAGAGCCTCTCAAGGCAAACCCCACTATTCCCTGTGTTGCTTTTGGTAATGTTGAGCAGGAAGTGAAGGAGGGTATTATGCACAAGGAGAAGAGGAAGAATGTTTGGAGGAAGAAGATGAAAGAAGCTTTGGCCCGAAGGAAGGAGAAGGCCAAAGCGAAGTTGGCCAATCAAAAGGGCCAACTCATGGAGCATAAGACGAGAGGCTACATGGCTCGCCCTGAGAGTGTGGTGGATCCACTCTCGGAGGCATCACGATCCAAGTCGTGATTGATCCCCAACCGTCAAGCTAATGACGATAAATTACCACTTGTTGGGAGGCAACCCAACGGAGGTTTGTTTTCTTTTCCTTATTTTCGTTTTTGTGTCGCGTGAAGAGTTCGAGTGGTGAAGTGGTGTCCCCGTGCCAAGTTTTGTGGTTTTGCGATTTAAGGTTGTGTTGTGATCGATTAGGAGGCATGGTGGAATAGGTTGAGTCAAATTTTTCTCAGTTTTCTATGATGTTGACGGACGGATTGTGGTGTTCATGGTCTTACAAGACCGTGAACAGGCAAATGCATCCGTGAACTGGATACTTTTGAATGTTCACCACCTGTCGACCAACCCCAGTTCATGGACGCATTTGAGTGTTCACGGTCGCTAAGACCGTGAACAAGGCAACGCGTGCGTAAAATCCTAGTTGTGCCTATAAAAGGGGTGTGAACGGCGACTCTTCACTTCACGGCCAAATCTCACCGCAAAATTTCAAATCTTCGCTGGAAAAACGCAAAACTCCGTCGGTTTTTTTATTTTCCCCCATTTTCGGCGAGCAAAACCCAAAACAAATGTCATTACCCATTCTCCACTCATCAAAACTGGCATGTGCAGAAATTTTGGGGAGATTTGGGGAAAGTTTTTTTGATCAAGTCGCCGGGGCAAGCTTCCCGCGAGTCTCCGACGAGCTTCCGATGAAGCTTCGGCGATCCCTCTCCGGTCAGTTTTTTGGCCATTTTTCACCTTCCTCGTCCGCACCTCACTTCCACCTACGTCCTACTTGCGTCTCCAGGTTGGTTTTTCAGCTTTACCTTATTAATTTGTGGAGAATCGGATTAGGTAGTGAAATGAGGATGATTTTTGTGCTTTGCATGTTTAACCTAGATTTAGGGCGAGGAATTAGGTGAATTAGGTCGATTGAATGGTGGAATGATTTTTGCTTGAGCTTAGTTGAGGAGATTTTTCCAAAAATAGCACTGTTCAAAAAAAAATTCCAAAAATAGCACCCAACTCCGAAAAATTCCAAAAATAGCACCCTTTTTGTAAAACCGCCACCCGGAGGTGCGTTTTTCGAAGAAAACCGCCATCCGGGGGCGCGTTTTTCGATGAAAACCGCACTAGTAGGGGGCGGTTTTGCAGACCGCACCCCCACGATGCGGTTTGGTTGCAGACCGCACCCCCAAGGTGCGGTCTGTTTTTTTTTTTTTTTGGAAAAATCCTAACCTAGGTGGAAACTTCAAACGAACGTATCTTTATGTTCGGGTATCCGATCGTCGCGATTTTTTTTTTTTGATTCCGCATAACTTTTTGAGATCTTGCTAGCCGAAGACTGCCAAAGGTGGTTTGGTCTCGCCTTCGTCCCAAAAAATGTCGTTTGCTACCCCGAACGAGCTTTTTTCCGATTTCGTCAAACTTTGGACAACCGTAACTTTGTGCTCCAAAATCCAAACGACATGAATTTTTTTTTATTTCGCATAAATTTTTAAGGAATACAACTTTTATCATAGACATAATTTCAAAATGTATGTGGATTGCTGAGAAGGGAAGATAAGCTATTCCCAAAATCCTGTATATCCAAAAATAATTCCTGTTTTGAAAATTCATTACTAGTAAAAATTGTAGTCCTTAAAAAGTTATGCGAAATAAAAAAAAATTCATGTCGTTTGGATTTTGGAGCACAAAGTTACGGTTGTCCAAAGTTTGACGAAATCGGAAAAAAGCTCGTTCGGGGTAGCAAACGACATTTTTTGGGATGAAGGCGAGACCAAACCACCTTTGGCAGTCTTCGGCTAGCAAGATCTCAAAAAGTTATGCGGAATAAAAAAAAATCGCGACGATCGGATACCCGATCATAAAGATACGTTCGTTTGAAGTTTCCACCTAGGTTAGGATTTTTCCAAAAAAAAAAAAAAAAAAAAAAAAAAGACCGCACCCTGGGGGTGCGGTTTGCAAACAACCGCATCCTGGGGGTGCGGTCTGCAAAACCGCCCCCTACCAGTGCGGTTTTCATCGAAAAACGCGCCCCCGGGTGGCGGTTTTCGCCTAAACCGCTGGTACGGGTGCCAGTTTTGCAAAAAGGGTGCTATTTTTGGAATTTTTCGGAGTTGGGTGCTATTTTTGGAATTTTTTTTTAACAGTGCTATTTCTGGAAAAATCTCCTTAGTTGAGCCTTGGTGGGCGTGTTTGATCCGAATTGCCTCTATTTTTAGAATTTGCCCACCAAGTGCTATGTTATGAATGCAAGTGGAGTTTTATGCTTGATTGGTGGATGGTAGCCATGGTTTGGATTGTGGTTCAATTTTTTGTGTGCTTGAACCGTGAATTACCACAACCATGCCACGGTGTTTTGAGCTTAAATGTTTGATAACCTTGGTGGAAAAACAAGTGTGGGGGGAATCTCTCTTCCTTCCAATGGGC